AAGAAAAAGTAGTAGATGCTTGTGCTTTGCATTGCTTTGTATACATCTTTATTTTATTTTTTTAATGGGAAACAGTACAAGCTTGTGGAAATCAAATGTTACAGAACATATTGTTGGGGAAGAAATTTTTTTCTACCCTTCTAGGTCCTTATGACTGGTCTAGAAATTACATTTAAATTAACATGAGATTGATTAACAGAGAAAATCAAAACTTAACATGTATACATCGGAGAGGCCCAGAAAAACTGAGTAACTCACCAGAATGCCTGAAACTCTCACTTTAAGTACTATCTTTAGCTTAAGATAAAGTAAACTGTCTGTTGAGAGTAAAGGTTTGGCACTTCAGAGGGAAGGCAAGCAATTTACCTGGAGATGGAAAAGCAAATTTTGGTGAATAAATGTTTGATGGACCATGCAGAGACAATGAGACAAGAGTAGATTCTGATCTCTAGGCCTGATCCCACCCCCACCCCCCCAACCCTGCCGCATCACACCTACCTATATTCACTGTAGATATCTCTGGTGATAGTCTATTGCAGGAATAGAATATCAAAATTCTAAAGGGAAGGAAACTTTTTTCCTGAGTCTTTATAAATGTATTTATTTGGCTGTATTGGGTCTTAGTTGTGGCATGTGTTCTCTAGTTCCCCAATCGGGAATCAAACCCAGGCCTTCTGAATTGGAAGCACAGAGTCTTAGCCAGTGCTTCACCAGGCAAGTCCCTCTTCTGAGCCTTGATTGCTTTCAGCTCAAAATAATCAGCATGCCAGAGAGAAACTGTGAGGTAGCAAGTGTTGTTCCCCTGTGATATATGATGAATATGTATTTGTCTAAGTCATTTTCATTGGTTGACCCTTTAATAACATGTAAGATCTTTAATACTATTTTTGCTTTTCCACAGCCTCCAAAATAGATCTGGGCCCAGAGTGGTAGCTCAGTATATGAATAGAGGGAAATTATCACTGAAAGATCATCTGTTCCTCCAAGTGGGAGACTTTGTATCAATTGTTAAAATAGTAGATTTAGGAGTGGAACAGAAAACCCTGCTCTGAGATACCCTGACTCATTCACGATTGTGGCTCCAAATTCTTTGAGCCTCTTTTGCACCATTTGTAAAATGGGGATAATAATATCTACTCTGTAGAGCTGATGTGAAGACCAAATGGGATGTGAAGATTATTTGAAGCCCCTAGCGCAGTGCCAGACACATAAAATCAAAGTACTTCACAGCAGCTGGTGAAAGACATGCTTACCCATCATCCACCAGATTTATTCTTTTCCTGTCCTTCTGAACCTGTAACCATGACCAGTGAGATTTAATGAGCTCTTAGCTCATCTTTTGTAAAGCAGAGTTGCTAATACTTAATACACCACAAATCTTGTATAAATTCTCTAGATAAAATGAAAGAACATTCAGCAGAGAAAAGTTAATTTGGAAATAATTTAGAATTGTAGGCCAACTCATAATCGCTTGCAGGTGACGTTCATTCTATATCAGCTGAAAAAACCTCAATTCTTTTCTCAGCTTTTAATCCATATCTTGACTACCTTCCAACTGTCCATTGGGTAGAAAGTAATGTAATTTCAATCAAAAAGTTAAGTAACTGAGAAAGACAGCAGATAGGTCCCTGGACCTCAATTGTTTGGCAACAAATTTGGGTTCAGTTTGAATTTGGAAGATGTTTGGGAGAAGGGATTCATGGAATGTATGACACTGACAATGACTCCATTGAATGAATGAAGGAGCAAAAGGAAGGCCTTTGCCCTTGATCTCACTGCCAGCTGAAGTCCCTTCTAAATCTGAGAACCAAAGACTCCACAAGTCTTAGTTTCTTTGCTTTTAATGAAAAAAATACAAAAATCAAGAGATGAAATAAAGAACATGTAATTGCCTTTTCTGCCTTGCACCTGACAAAGCCACAGGAAGGAGAAGTAGATTCACTGCAGGGAAAATTGCCCTCACTTTTCTCTGTTAAAGCACATTAGTCCCCCACAGAGGAACTCTGATTTTTCCAGTGGTGTACATTTGCACAGTTGGGTTCATATTTTGCTCTCAAGTGCAATAGTGCTCACACCAAAGCTAATACAATAAAGCTGGAACTGACATGAGGTTCCTGGGAACATCATTCCTGTGTTCTTGGCAGTTACCTCTAGGATCCTCAACCTGTTACCAGGGAGACACAGAGGAACACTGGGTCCACAACTTACAAAAGGATGTTTTGCATCTGAAGATAGGGCTCTTGAATTTATCTCTCGTCTTAAGAGATTCCTACAGCCTGTGAGTTTAAAATTACTTATTCTTGAGCAAGTTGGGAATGTGTTTTCAGTTACTTGCAACCAAAGTGTTTGAAAAATGTGCTATCTCTGTGTTGGATCATGGCTGAGGCTTTGGAAATTCTATGGAAATCAACCACTGTTGCCTGTCCTTATGTGGCATACATAATTTAGAGGAACAGACACATTAATTGGGGAAGCACCAATTTAGTAGATACTTCTAAAACATCTACTCAAAAAGATATAATACTTAGTTCAATGAGAATTTATAATGGACTGAAAAAGAACAGTAGAAAAGGCTTTCCTGAGAAAGTAGTTCTTAAACTTAAACCTGCAGAATCACTAGAAATGAAGTAGGTGAGCAGAAAAGGCAAAGGCATTTCAAAGAGAGGAAATAGCATAGAAGGAGAAAACATGCCCTGTGATAGGAGGAACAAGGCATGATCAGGGATGGGAAAAAGGTCTGTACAGCAAGCTTTGAGAACAAGAAGCAGATTGGTTGGGGTAATGGTGGCTGGAGAGATGAGTAGGGAGATTGTGCAAGTCCCCAAAGGCTATTTTAAGGAGTTTTGTCTTTTATTGTAAGAATAATAAAAAGCTGTGTGGTCCATGCTCTTAAATTATAAATCCAAGGCTCCTAGAGGAAAACTAGGTTTGTCCAAGGTTGGATGTCCCTCATTCAACAAAGTTCAGCCCAGAACACAAGCCTCTGACTCTCAGGTGACATACAAAAAGAACTGGTGATAGTCGCTAGTATTTGAAACATCTCTTTGGAGCAAAGATCTTGAATGGACTTAAGAAATCACAAAGTCTGCTTTGGATATACAATCTTAACATAAAGCAGATTATACCTGTCAAAATTTGTATATGAACTTAATATAATTATACATATATATCTACCAACAGTTTTACCTCACACATGCTAGGATGGTTATTACTCAAAAAAATAAATAAACTAAAGTGCTGATAAAGATGCAGACAGATTAGAACTCCTGTGCATTGCTACTGGGAATGGAAAATATTGCAGCTATGGCGAAAAACAACATGGTGGCTCCTCAAAATTAAACATAGAAATGCCATATGATCCAGTAATTCCACTTTTAAGCATATACCCCCAAAAATGGAAAGCAGGGATTTGAACACATACACACTAATGTTTATAGAAGCACTAGTCACTATAGCCAAAAAGTGGGAACAACCCAAAGTTCACCAATAGATGCATGGATAAACAGAACAAAGTCTGTACATGCAGTGGAGTATTATTTTGCCTTATAAAGAAACAAAAGTCTGACCAGTGCTACAACATGGAGGAACCTTGAAAATATTATGTTTTGTGGAATGAGCCACCTTAAAAAGACAAATATTTTGTGATTTCACTTATGAGATGACTAGTCAAATTCATAGACAGGAAGTAGAGCAATCATTCCCAGGGGCTGAAGGAAGGGGTAAAGTTACTGTTTTTGTTTTAATTGGAGTATAACTGCCTTATGATGTTGTATTAGTTTCTTCTGCACAACAAAGTGAATCAGTTACATCTGTACATACATTCCCTCCCTCTTGGACCTCCTACCACCCCCATCCCACTCCTCTAAGTCATCACGGAGCACCGAAGTGAGCTCTGTGTGCTTACAGCACGTTCCCACTAGCTATTTCACACGTGGTGGTGTATATATGTCAATACTACTCAGTTTCCCCCACCCTTCCCTACCCACCACTGAGTCCACATGTCCTTTCTCTATGTCTGCATCTCTATTCCTGCAGTGGAAATATGTTCATCTGTACCATTTTTCTAAATTCCACGTGAGTGTGTTAATTTGTGATATTTGTTTTCTCTTCTGACTTCATTGTATATGACAGACTCTAGGTCCATCTGCTAAGTCACTTCAGTCATGTCTGACTCTGTGTGACCCCATCCCTGGGATTCTCCAGGCAAGAACACTGGAGTGGGTTGCCATTTCCTTCTCCAATGCATAAAAGTGAAAAGCGAAAGTGAAGTCACTCAGTCATGTCTGACTCTTCGCGACCCCATGGACTGCAGCCTACCAGGCTCCTCCATCCATGGGATTTTCCAGACAAGAGTACTGGAGTAGGTCCATCTACCTTTCTACAAATAACCTAATTTTGTTCTTTTTTATGGCTGAGTAATATTCCATTGTGAATTTATTGTTTAATGGATAGGGTTTCTCTGTGGGGTGATGAAAAAATTATAGATATGGATAGTGGTGATGGTTTCACAAAAATGGGAATGTATTTAAGGCCACTTAAAAATAGTTAATAGCTAAACTTTATGTTTTACTGCAACAAAAAATCTTAAAAAGATATATAATGTTACTTCTCTCTTTATATGCATACTGTAAGTACATTTATGCTGTAAGTAAAATAAGAATGCATTACTTGATAAAACTATAAAGAAAAATTACATACATTTCCTCCTGTTACTTTACTCACATAAAGGATATCCTTTTTCCTATACAGAAGTCAATACTACTAAAAGATTTTTTCTTAATAAAAAGAGATGGCTGGAAGGAATAAAAGCAGTCATGAACTTTTATTATTGTGTGTTTACTCCACCACAAGAAGAAGCTCTGCCTAAGGAGTGCTTTTTATAGTTCTTTTATATATTTGTTTGTTAGAATCCATAAATAAATAGAGCATGTAGTTTTACATTTCTGTTACACTGAGATTATCACTTCAGAACTAACCTAAAACCCAGTGTTTTGTTTTTTTTTTTTTTAATCACTTACCCTCTCCTTAGGTCAGAAATCTGTTTCAGTTTAGATTATTTAGATAGTTACATACAGTTTTAGAGTAAGTCTTTTCCTAGAGTGCTTTATACTGGAGTTCTCCAATCTTGGTTTCCTGTCGATGTTTAGGTTCCTGGAAGGAAATAGACCAATGAGAACAGCAAGATGCACACTTGATATTTCTGGGAAGAGTATCTTTGTTGAGCTGATTTGCCCTGCAAGATGAGCAGATATGTGAATAGTCCTTCAAATACTATAAGTTAATGATTGTGTTTCCCATGCACTATCTTCCTTAGGAAGTATCTCTTGTCTGTTCAAGTGTTTGAGAGGACCTGTGTTCTAAGCCTCTCAGCAGAGTGGTAGCCCTGGTGGAGGTTCCCTTGAGACCTTGGCTCTTGGGAGTAAACACCACACTCCAAACTACTTGGATAAATGAAAAAATAGAGGACTGTTGTTACCGCCTTAATTTTAGTCATTATATTTTACTTAACATTACCTTCAGCCTTTATGAAAAGCTCTGTTAATTCCGCTTATTTCTTACTTAAGCTTGATCTTTTCATTTTCCTGCTGAAATCCCTTCTGTGTCAGCCCATTGTGCTTAGGAAAACATTAAAAATTCCTAATATAGTCTCTAAGGAAAAACTTTGGGGTAATAGAAAAGGGAGCCCAAGGGTTTTGTTTTGTTTTGTTTTTTAATCTTCCTCTTTACTCCTCCTACCCAACTTGATGTGCTTAGCTTCTTTCAGCCTTCATTAGTCTTCCTAAACCTAGCACATTAAGAGGTTCAAAATGTACATTTTGAATCATCATAAAAATACACTTAGCTGTGCACCTTTGCAGTCTAATTTTTCCCTGTGGGGGGTATTCCACCTCTGTAACTTAATTCTCTGTCTGGAGATTTTTACACCTGGGAAAAAATAGAATGTCTAAGCAAGTACATTACATTCTTCCCCCCTCCCTCTTTCCCTAAATAATAGTTAAACTCATTACTGTCTCTGGGGATACCATCTGATAATAAGCATCTATGGTAATGAAAAGGTTATTTAAACCTTCCAGTGGAAGCCATATCACTTAAAAATTTTGAATCAAGTACTCATTTGTTTTTAAGGAGTCTGTTTTTTAGCCCTTTGCTAGGTTCATCAGTGAGATGGAGCTTCCAAAACTGGTCTTGCTTTTAAGTAATAACCTTTGCTGTTACATAAAGATAGTGCTATCACAGCTTTGAATATAGTTTAACAAGGAGTTTCATGTACATTATCCCTCTAATCCTTTCAATAATTCTTTCAAGGCTGTTTAGGAATCAACACTTCATTTTTACAGTTGACAAACCTGCATCTTAGAGAATTAATTGGCTTACTCCAAGATTCACTACTGCTAGGAATAGAGGTGGGAACATAGAGCTCCTCTGACTTCTAGTCTATTGTGACTTTGGGATGTAGTATTTCAAGAAGTATTTCTACTGATTATAAAAGTACCATCTTTTTTTTTTTTTATAGAAAATAAGCAGAAAATAGGAGAATATGTAAAGGTGAAAATTAGAAATGCTTTCATTCCCACCATGCAGTGAGCCACTGTTAACATCTTAGTGTTTTTCCTTCCAAAGTCATCTATATGGATGTGTGTGAGCAGTTTTGTGTATGTATGCCTGTGGATCCTCAGGGAATTTGACTCATGTTGTACAGTAGCTGAATGAGAACAGGTACACAGCAATGATGATGAGACTACCTCAGTGTGTGTCAGATAAACTGGACTTGCTTTTCTTCTCTTTCTACCTGTTAAGAAGAAAAGAACTGATTAGGGCCAGAGAAAGTGTTTGCCCCAATTCAATCTGTTTTTGCTCTCTTCCAAGAGAGAAAATGTTCCTGGGAACCTAACACCACTAACTCATTAAGATGTTGTCATCTGCTGTTTCTGCTGCTGCTAAGTTGCTTCAATCATGTCCAACTCTGTGCGACCCCATAGACGGCAGCTCCCCAGGCTCCGCCGACCCTGGGATTCTCCAGGCAAGAACACTGGAGTGAGTTGCCATTTCCTTTTCCGATGCGTGAGAGTGAAGTCGCTCAATCGTGTCTGACTCTTAGCGACCCCATGGAGTGCAGCCTACCAGGCTCCTTCGTCCATGGGATTTTCCAGGCAAGAGTACTGGAGTGGGTTGGGTGAGATGTATGTCCAGCTCCAGCTATGCCTCGCTCCAAGAGTGTGTCTGAATCCTTTTCTAATAGAAAATGAATAACCTCAATGACAAATAAGGAGGCCATAGGAAGGCTTGGACGTAAAATCTTTCAGGATGTAATTACCAGGGATTTCATTCTTAGACTAATATAAGAACTTGGCTTTGTACTGAAGCTATTGGAAACAAATTAGAAAAAAGCAGATTGTATCATTGTTGCTTGGTGATGATCCAGAAGGGACCGATTTTTCCCACTGGGTGGGATTAATTCCAGATTCCATTGGCAAATTAGCTGGATCATTATGTCTGTGAGAATGACTCTAGCATTTGATAAATTAGACCATGGAGTCAAAATGTCTGGGGATGGATACAAGTCCTACTGGAACCTAGTAGTGATGCTCTATGTAGATTACTGAACCTTCATTAGCAGGCCTATACATCATAAATAAATTATTCCCTACAGTGTTACTTTATTGTGAGGTTTAAGAAAGCTCATGTGTCTAGAACAGGGCCTGTTATATACAAAGCCCCACATAAAGAGGTAGTTGTAATGGAGGTGATTTTTCATCTCCGTTGGTTGAAAGTTGTCTCTTAAGGGAAAAGTAATCCCTTGTCACTAGATGTTAGGCATTTGTGCCTTGGAGTATTGAACCATCTCAGCTCTCCAAGTAGAGGAGTTTAAGTTTCTCTTCTTTGGTATTTATCCCTCCATGATCCCAAAGTGAAAAGTGACTCTTTGAATGGTCACGCCAAGAGTATATATCTTGGTCCTTGAAAATAGCTCCCCAAACCTCCTCCTCCATTCTCCCCCTGCTCCAGTCTTAAGGGCAGCATTATGCATCTGTATGACTGTGTAGCCCATCAGCTCTTCTTTTTTAAACTGAGGAATAGTTGCTTTACAAGGTTGTATGTTTCTGCTATATGATGAAGTAACTCAGCTGTATGTATACATATATTCCCTCACTCTTGAACCTCCCTCCCTCCCACCACACCACCCCATCCATGTAGGTCATCACGGAGCACCAGGCTGAGCTCCCTGTGCTACACAGCAAGTTCCCACTAGCTATGTATTTTGCACATGGTAGTGTAATATGTCAATCCGAATCTTTCAGTGATAAGCCTCTTATCCTTCTCCATCAGAGAGCAGGCAGACTGAACACCACAATCACAGAAAACTAACCTATCTGATCACATAGACCACAGCCTTGTCTAACTCAACAAAACTATGAGCCATGCCATGTAGGGGCCACCCAAGATGGATGGGTTATGGTGGAGAGTTCTGAAAAAACATGGTCCACTGCAGAAGGGAATGGCAAACCACTTCAGTATTCTTGCTTTGAGCACCCCATGAACAGTATGAAAAGGCAAAAGGATAGGACACTGAAAGATGAACTCCTCAGGTAAGTTAGTGCCCACTTCGCTACTGGAGATCAATGGAGAAATAATTCCAGAAAGAATGAAGAGATGGAGCCAAAGAGATGGAACCAAAACTGGGTGTTTATACAACACCCAGTTGGGGAGGAGACTGGAGACAGAAGTAAAGTCCAATGCTGTAAAGAGCAATATTGCATAGGAACCTGGAATGTTAGGTCCATGAATCAAGGCAAATTGGAAGTGGTCAAA